GAGGGTATATTTAGTCGATACGATATCGTGTCCGATGTCGGCTCCCATTGTATTCCCAATACCTTAATGAAGCCCTTAGTATCAGTCGCGTCAAACTGCTTCGGTTGTTCACAGTGATCATCAGGCAGATCCTTTAATAAACGCAGGTCATTCGTCGACCATTTGCGTAACTCATAACCTGCACTCTGCATGAGCTGAATGAGTTCTGCCATCAAAACCTCCGCGTCCTGCAAGGAGCCTGCCCCGGTGAGTATATCGTCCGTGTACACGTTGTGCCTCACAACCTCCGCCGCCCTCGAGCCAGGGTGCTCCTGTTCCCACCGCGTCGCCAGCTCCAGCAACGTCCGTATTGCTATGTAGGGACTCGACCTCAGTCCATAGGTGTTAGTGTTCAATTCGTATACCTTGAGCTCCTGCGACGGATCACTCCTCCACAGTATTAGCTGGTACCTCCTGTCCTCAGGGTGGATCCAGATCATCCGGAACATCTGCTTCACGTCCGTAGTGAACACGACTTGATGTCGCCTGAAATTCATAAGGATTTTCGTTATGTCATTCTGTAATGGCTCCCCAGAATGTAGACATTCGTTTATTGAAACCCCTGTAGTTGTTTTACAACTGCCATCAAAGACCACTCTGATCTTATCGGAGTCCCTTTTAAATATACCGTGGTGTGGTATCACATAGTGTTCAGCGTCGAACCTAAAATCCGAAATGGACATATGACCGAGCTTCTCGTAGTCCGCCATGATCTCTATATTTACTTACAAATACAGGGTGTCTATCCATTTTTCTTTCAAGCGCGTAGAACCTGCGCGTAGCCGTGTCCAACGAATCACCCAATTCCGGTTTATTAGATAATAATGGTAAACGTACCATAAACTTTCCATCGGATAACCTTTCTGTGGTAGTTTCGTACAGCCTCTCGCACTCCTCGTGACGGGGATCCATAGGTTTGTCCATCGGTGGCTCCTCCGACGTCCAAAATCGCTTGACAGCTTCTGTCAGCGTCGTCGTAGAGACTGGCCGCCGCTCAATGGTCACGTAGCCGTCCGCAGGCCCCATGATGGCATGCCCAAAGCACGTCCCGTAGGCTGCCGCACCACCTGTGTCGATATTTATTTTAGTACCATCGAACACATAGTTTAGTACATTTGTTCCAAGTATCAAATCTACCCCCGTCGGCAGAGAGAAATATTTATCAGCTAGCTTCAGCGTTGGCGGCGCCCACTTTAATATACCCTTCGGTGATATTCTGTTCACCGGTAAGTCTGCAGTCACCTCTTGCATGACTACTGCGACAGTCGAAATTATCGGAACCCGTTTATCGATAGGCCTTATAACAATTTTAACCTTACTGGACGGCGTCCTCACCGTGGAGTTGCCCACTCCGATTATTTCCATGGTGCTCCTTTGCCGGTGCAGTCGGAGTCGATCCACCAAAGCTTCTCTGATGGCGCTGACACTCGCTCCGGTGTCCAGAAGCGCTCGAGCCTCCTCGAAGTTGCCCTCGCTATTTCTTATACCTAAGGTCACTGTGGGGTTGAGACAGTTTTTAAAACCGCTCCCAACAGTGTATGACGCTGCACCGACATGAGCTAACCCTCAATACCTATCACCTTCCGGCTCCGGAGTGGGTGAATAGTTTGGTTGGCCATACCTCAGCTCCTCGAACTGTTCATGAGCTCGCCGGTACCTCGCGCCGACCTGTCTCTGGCCTGGCTCCAGTCTGTACGGCTGGGCCTCCTCCCGCTCCGGAGGGTGCTGCTGCGACTCCACCGTCCGGTGCTCCACTGGACTGGCGTGGCGTGGGGGCGTCCTCACACGCGGCGGTGATGGTTGGTGCGGCGGCGTCCTGGCTCGCGGCGGCTGCCGGGCCGGTGCCGCGTAACGCGCTGGCTGAGCCCGCTGCTGCTGTGTGCGCTCCGGGGGCGAGCCTCGTGCACACAAGAGCGTGTGGTGATTATCGGATCCACAAAATCCGCATCCGTTTCCCCGAGCGCAGTCCCGATCATAGTGTCTTCCGAGACACACGAAGCACGCTCCATTGCTTCGCACCTACGACTTTCGTGCCGAGCACGCGAGTCGTTTAAACTCGTAGCAGCCCGATATATCGTGACCAAGCTTGGTACAATATAAGCATCTCACCTCGGTCACGGCGACGGATACCTGACCACGAGCCCTGCTCGTTGATGGCGAGCGCCGGTCCCTCGACGTAGTAGCCTTGGGCTGCGCGTTGGAAGACCTTCGATGCCGCTGCGGCCCGGTCTCGTCGTCCTGCGTGTGAGTCGGCGATGTAACTAGCTGACGCCGGCAGATCTCGTCGAGCAGCCCCATCAGCGACGAAAAAGTTGGCAGCTCTTCGGCAGTTGCTCCGCATCGCTCCTCAAATTGATTGCGTAACCGCGTCGGTAGCTTCTGTAAAATAAGAAAGAGGAGTAAGTAAGACCACTCCGCTACGGGTAGCCCTAGCTTCTGGAGAGCCTGCGTCGACTCCAGAAGCGGATTGTAGAAGGCCTGCCTCAAGCCATCTAATGTCGTCGGGACCTTTGGTAAAGACACAATCTGCTCCAGATATGTGTCAGCCAGCAGTCGGGTATTCTAGTACCGGTCCCTTAAAAGTCCGAGCGCCACCTCGTAGTTAGCCGCGTCGTTTGGTAGGTGCTTCACCAAGGTCAGTGGTTCACCCTTTAAGCAGCTCCGCAGATAATAATGTTTCTCCGTAGCCGGGAGATTTGAACGGTTGTGTACCAATGAGAGGAACAAATCGTAAAAACTTACCCAGTCCCTCGGGTTACCATTAAACTGCCCCAGCTCAATGAAGGGAAGCTTAGCCGCTACGGTTGCCTCTCGCGGGCCACTTGAAGTGTCCCTCTTGACCGATGGAGCCTTGGATGGCCCGGCGTCGAGCTCCTCCATCTTAATCTCCACAGCAATCAACAGCCCGTTGATCTCGGAGAACTCCTGCCCCAGGTTTTCAATATCCTCGGCATCACTGGCCACGAGCGCCTCGTAGGCCTGAACAAACTCTGTGTAGTATTTGTCGAACTGGCGCTTTATAACGCGCGATGCTATCGACGACGTTGTCTCCCCCAAAGACCTGTGGAAGTCGCGAAGCATTTTAGCTCGTATATGGAAATTGTGACGCACCGTCTTAACATCCATTTTGATAAAAATACTCCACCAACAAATTTAAACTAGCTTACGTTATGCTAAACAATAACAATAGGTATCGCGTCGATATAATTATAAAACTAACAACAATTACGGAATACACAACAACGTAATTTCGCACCGGTATTACTGTCAAACAATAACCCTTTTTACAAAAGGAAAAACCTTACTTTACAAAAACAACAACAACAATGCAATATCGCGCCGATATTGCTTATTAATAACGATAACAATCGTATACTAACACACTAACACAAGCTTAGGTTAAAGACTGCAATAACAATAACAAGGAAATGGTAAAACAAACAAATTGAATGTCGCTTCGACCGTTTAAATTAATAGTGTTACCTACAAGTTCGCGTCGAACTTCCTAACAAATATGAAGCTTACTTACATTAAAATAAGGTCCATACCCTTTGTTGACCTGCCGCAGGCACTCACTAAAATACTATAGTATTATTCACTTCACTAACGCACTGTAGTGTTATAGGCGAAAGGGCAACTTTCGCACGCACTGGTAGCAATCGTTTCTGCTCGCCGCTCGAGGTGGCCACGTGACCTGCGCGGCCGCCGCTGAGTCGAGTCCAAGTACAATAAATAATAATTGTAATAACGCCGCTCCGCGTAGAATGCACCGTCGATCGCTGGGATGCCGTATGCTGAACAACAGGCAAATAACACTCGCCGCCGCTGCGCGCCGATGTTTCCGTAGACGATAAGTGCACGTACTTATAAACGCCGATGCCCGCCGTAAATACCTATACCGGTGTGCCGCGTCGACTCGCCGAATGTAGGTAAACTGCGCCTCGGTCGTCACCGATAATCCTTGCCGCTGCTTCGCGTTGATGTCCCGCTGCCCCGCGTAGACTCCTTCACCGTGTGAAGTGGAGGTCACGTTTGCACCGTGACGCCTTCCTCGCCGCTCCGCGTTGTTCAACACCGGTCGTACTTACGGTCGTCCTCGAGCCGTAACCTTTTTTCCCGCGATCCAGGTTCCCCCCCTCATGGGCCACCAGAAATGTTGCGAGTCCGGTGAGGTCGTTCGCTTTATTTGCGTAACTCACTCGATCCGTCGTGCCGCCGTGGTTATCGTGCTGTGCGGGTTCGTTTTGGCTGTGGCCTTGCCTGGATGTGGATGGTGACCGGTGGTTGAAGAGAAACACGTGTTTGCTTCACACAATATATTGTTCGGTTTTATGACATCACTAACTTATACACCTTTAATTATATTATTATACTAAATCACAATAGTATAGATACGCGGCTTCGCGTCTTTATCACCTAAATGTTATCGCTTCGATACAATGAAATTACAGCGTGCGCTCTAAGGCGTCGGGCACACTGCACGCGGTCTAGCGGTCAGAGTTCCGAGTTCTGCGTTCCGCGTTCATACTTGCGCACACTGCGAGCGGTCTAGTTTGGATTTCAGTAGGTAAACTTCGCCACTGGTGAGGTGACACGACACACACTCTGTTAAAAATGTCACTCTATCTCGATAGTAGTTCATCTTCGGAAGATAATATTCTGTTACTGTGGAGCCTTGCAAGTTCAAAGAAAAGAAGAAAGTACTGGGTGCATCCTATTAATGAATTGAGAGAACGCGATGGAGAATTCTTTACTTTATTTCCCAAACTGCTTCAGGATGAAGAAAGATTTTACATGTACTTCCGAATGTCAATTCAGTGTTTTAATGAATTGTATGATATGTTAAATAATTACATACAAAAAGCGGATACTAACTTTAGAAGGGCTATAAGTGCAAAAGAGAGATTGGTAATATTTTTAAGGTAAATTTTATTAAATTGTGTGCTAATTTGTGTAAGTAATTACAAATTAAATTCTGTACTATCATTAGTGTAGTCCCCAGTTACCAAAATTGATTGCGATACAGCCTCGTAGTAGTCGCGAGCTCTATCATCAGGTCTTGTCAATGTTTGGATGCTTGGATTATGATCCGATGATACTGATGGGTTACTCTGAACGGCCATATTTTCAGTGTTACAGTTTTCATTTTGCAGCTCATATCGAGTAAATAGACCTGCTATATCCATTTTCAATAAAGCTTGGCTCCTTCTTGGTAATCTTTTGAAATTTTGTGCGTAGCTCAAGAAAAATAAATCTACTTCATCGTAGCTTTTTTTATTTACTTGAGACTCTTTTTTTTTAATATAATCAAGCACCGCTTGTGTTTCTGGACTAATTATCTGTCTTCTCAGTTGTAGTCTCTCACTCCAAATAGGTCCATGAGAACTGGATGCACGGCTACTTTCAGAATTTTGAGATTCAGAATCACGGCTGTTCTCAGTATCTTCAAAGATGGCATTTTGGAAACTAGGGGTACGGTTATGTTCAACCTCATCAAGGGATATGTCTTCTGAAGGATTACTGACCGAATCAGAATTCTGCGTTGTATTTGGACTTAATAAGTTTATATTTGAGGCAGGTGTCCTTTGATATGAAACATCATCTAAAAACCTCATTAACTCAGCCCAGGGCCAATTTCTATATTTTTTGTAGGATTGACCTGTTGACGTTTGTTTTGTTTTTTTAACCTTGTTATAGTTATCCTTAAGCGTCTTCCACTTTGAACTCCAGTAATCACCTGAAAATAAAATCGCCTTTGTTTCAGATTTATTGTAACAGGGGATAATTACAAAACAATAGCATATTCGTATAGAATTGGGTATTCAACTGTCGCTAAAATTATAAAGGAAGTAAGTCAAGCTGTCTGGTCTGTACTGCAACCAATTTGTATGCCTTTACCTACCGAGACAACGTGGAAAGAATGTGAACAAGAATTTCGTGTTAGATGGGGTTTTCCTAACTGTATAGGAGCCATCGATGGGAAGCATGTTTATATAAAATGCCCTAAGAACAGTGGTTCACTACATTTCTGCTACAAAGAAAGATTCTCTATTGTATTGCAATGATCGATGTGGGTAGTTACGGAAAGGACAGTGACAGTACAATTTTTCAGAAGTCATCATTTTATCAAAGACTTATCAATAATCAGAATATACCCGAACCGAAACCCTTGCCAGAAAAGGAACGTCCAATACCCCATGTTTTCCTTGGCGATGGTGGTTTTAAATTAGAAAAATTTTTAATGCGCCCATTTTCAACTGTCATCGCAGCACGTGACCAGAGAAAACGTAAATATAACAAGAGACATAGCAGTGCTAGAAGAATTGTGGAAAGTACGTTTGGGATTTTAGCCCATAAATGGAGGTTGTTCTTGTCTGTAATTGAGTTAGATGTAAATACAACAGTTGATATTGTTAAAGCAGCGTGTTGTTTACATAACTACTTAATTATCAATAAGCAAGATAATGTTGTACGTGATAACGACGAAATCATGAATGCATGTCAAAATGTTCGCGCTTTGGGCTCGTTAAGCTTAAACCGCGATAGAACAAACTTATCGGCATATGCAGTGCGTGAGGAGTTTATATCGTACTTTAATTCTTTATAATTTAAATATTTAGAATGAGACATTGTTGACGAGATACATTGCATATAACATGCTTCTTCATATGTAGATAGGATCATCTCACACGGACGACAACCTCGCGACAGCGAAAAGACAAGTAGTAACAAGTACAATTTGTATTGAATAGAACGTGACCACATTATGTCGCTGCGTTGTCGTGTGTTTGTGATCCGCCTGAATTGTCCCTATAAATAAACAATAGTGAAATAAGCAACAGTTAACAAATAAAATACACTTTAAAATCAAATTTGTTTTCTTACTATTTTCTCTACCCATTTCTTGGGCAATTTCCGTCCAAGCATTTGCCTTTTTTTGACGATTTTTATAGCCCTCGTCACTCAAATCATAAAGGAAAGGTTTCCCTCTCACCAACTCTATAAAATGTTCGATATCGTCGGACATCGTGTTTGAATTTGTTTTCGACAAAAGTAGAACTCTGCCAGAACGTGCGTTCACTTTGAACGTCGCGGTCCGACTGTTTTTGTGTGTGACGAATTCTAAGTCACCACGTAGGTTACAGAGAACGCGGAACGCAGAACTCGGAACTCTGACCGCTAGACCGCGTGCAGTGTGCCCGACGCCTAAGCGTCGTCGCTGAACCAGAGAGGCGGGCCGAGTTTAATCGGAAACTAACTAACATGTCTGCGTTTCCGGCGCTGGGCTAGAGATGCGTTCGCGACGGTAACAATTAGGGATGTGCTCAATTTGCATGAACAATATATAAACAAGTAAGTACACATTTATATATTATACTTATTAAAATTGACTTCTGATTCGTATTGAGAGATTGCACTTATTAACGCTGATATTTAATTCGATTACAATTTAATTTTTACGAAATTCACCTTTCCAAAAATATTATCTATACTACATTTAAACAAATTGCCTGACTCCAAAATGAAAAAAAATACAACAAACATTCATAGATTTCAAAACCTCATTGCCTAATATCTTATACTTTCATAAGCTAAAATTTGATTTTATAAAAATATCTAATTTCCTATTCACATTCTTCTTCTTGGGAACGCTTAAAATTTTACCTACTATGCCTTAAACTCACGTTGTTTTTATGTACTCTACTATACGATTTTATATCTACAGGAAATCCTAGTCCATAATCTCTATCAGTATCTAAGTACCTAATCCAAATCCTTAAAAAAATATACGGAACATTTTAAATGTTTTTGATTCTAGCTAATTTTGATTCCTGAAGAATATTTACGTGACAAACTTTACCTAAGTGATTTTTTTTTATATACTTATCGTACCTATTCAATTTAATTCATATAAATTTTAATGATTCTAGTAGCAAATTACCAATTTTTTCAATTTTGATTAGATATACAATACATGCATACGGGTATTTCAATCGCAACAATTTAAACATGTAAAGACAAAAAAACGTACATAAAATTATAAATTTCGAATTCAGAATTAAACTTTAGTAAAATAACAACAATGCCAATACTACCTTCGTGGTCACGTCACATGCATACCACACGTGTTGCTAGGTCAGCACTCACGATGTCGTTTGCTTATGAACTCTATTACGAAATAGCAATTTTTAATTTATATGCATTGATAATTTAAGTTTCTAAATTTAAACAATAACTTAAATGTTTTTTTAACTTTGTCAATACAATATTAATGTCTGAAACGCCCGTCTGTTCAGAGGTGGGCGCTAACATCTGCGATACAGTCTTCGACTACTGCGGATGTTAACACAAACTGTGTTTATGTACAAATGTTTTGTGTTTCAATAAAGATTTATTATTATTTAACTTAAATAATAAGATACACTAAAACATTTTTTTATATTCTAGTGGTTAACCGACTTCAAAAAGAGGAGTTTTCATGAATAAACAAACTAAAATAAAACGAATTTTAAATACAATGGAATTAAATATTATAGGTTTAAAAATAAGTCACATACCTTTCAATAGCGATTCCGCATACTCAAAGCTGTAAAATTTAGAAAACAACATTAATAACGTATGTACAACGAACAACATTTCCTACGATTTTAGTAAACTATCATATAAAATCAATATTCATTAAAAAAAACATTTTAAGTTTTACTTTTCAGTGCAATCAAACTATAGTATGAATCAGAACGTCATTTATGGTACTCTTTACTACGTACAATTAATTGTACATAATATGTTTGATTCTTTTTAATTGACACTTTTACAAATATGTAATATCAAACAGAACTTACATTTTAAATACAAGAATGTAAATAAAATGTCGTCAACAAGATTTTTCTTTCACAACATGATAAACTAAACTCATATTTAATGAAAATTTATAAAAAGAGGTATAAAATTCATCATTAAAAAATAAATTCTTCAAACTGTACATTTTTAGTTTTTACCAGAGAAAACAATAATTACCTGTTACATTTGATTATTAAAAAATAAGAAAAAACATTTTACTTATGCGCTAATTATTACCTCCGAAACAATAAAAAAAAACTTATGGTATTTAATAAACATAAGGAAAAAATGTCCAACCAAATTGATATCCGAATTAACCACATAATGTTGTCCTTGCCTTTGTTTTCCCTTCCTTTTCTCCTTTTGGCCCTATTTACTCCCGGCTGCGTCCACTTCCGACACCATCGACTCCCGGCAGCCTGCTTTGATCATCCGTTTCCATCTCCATCCAACGGCCAACAGGAACCGACAACTAACCTCCCAGGCAAAATCTTTCTATTTTTTTCACTTTTAAGTCCAAAAATTTTTGTTTTGTTTTGGCCACATTTCAAGAATATATTTTAAGTAATATTTTTAAAAGTCTTTTCTCTATTTAATATAATTTTGTAATGTATTTTTTTTAATAATCACTCCATATATTTCACTTCACCATAGTCTTCACATAATAAAGTCCAAAAAAATTTTTTTTTACTATATAAAAACCATCTGCCCAGCGCCGCCGATGGGCAGCACTGGCAGGGTCGCTATGCAGTGTTGGCGGTTCGGGCGTTAAATAATACAACTGACTGCGATTAAAGAGTGCATTTATTTCATATGCAAAGCTTTATATATTAGGAGGGATGCGATACACATCGCTTTAGACAAAGATGGACAAGAATTTTCCTACCACAACATATACCTGCTTAGATATGTTTTCTAAATCCTGCATGAGTTCCCAGCTGTTGGCTTAAATATTTGCACAATACTTGTTGAAGGCTGCTCAACATCTTCTATTTGTGCAAATTGTGGTTTTGTCGTGCAATGATCTGCTGACTGTTGCTGTGAAAGTGAGTAATATTGGTTTTAAACTACATTGATAAAATGTTATGTAGAAAAACATTTTATGCAGATTGCTAACTTAACACATACCTGTACAAATATATTGTCTATCTCATTTAAAAGTTCCTCTACTTCTACTGCATCGGGAACAGCAAATTTTGATAATTTTTGTCTCTTGTTATCATAAAATTAAGACGAAACCAAATGTCTCCCACATTAAACTTAGCTTGAGGTACATAATTTTACTAAAGATGCATATGTCCATTCTTCATCAGGCCAGCAATATTTAGCCCATGCAAGAGCCCTGAAAAAAGCACACAAACACAAAATGAGTACCCAACTAAAATGGAACAATAATTTAAACTAAACCTTATAGGAAAAGAGTCAACGTTTTTTTTAGAGTGTAGGTGAAGTCAACTTTTTTCTTCATTCCTTCTGTATTTGCAGTTATCTCGATTATATTCTTAACCAGCTTCTGCCCGCGACTTCGTCTGCGTGGACTTTCAATTTTCCCTCGGGAACTACTTAAGGAATCGGGATAGAAGGTAGCGATTAGAATGCAGATAACTTATTTTGTAAAATTATTTTTACCTGGATCAGGAAATCGATGATAGGTGACAAGCTTATCTTCAGCACGTGTTTAACCACACTTACCACATTTTACGATAATAGTGGCTAGACATATTAAACAAAACGGCCGTTAACACAGCAATGAAAATAATACAATCAAAACAAAATAATTAAGTAAGTTTCAAATAGGTTTTGTATTCGTAACACATGAAAATCACAATAAATATCGTATTTTATTGCAATAAATGTGGAGAGATTTATGAGAACCGTTTTGCCTGTCTCGGCACTCGGTCCAGGAGTGGGCCCTTCCGCAGTAATTGCAGAGTTGGGCTGCCTCCGTGCACAAGTTCTTTGTGTGACCGAATCCAAGACATTTGGCGCACTGGACAAGGGGTGACTGGTTCCAGGCCTATGTGGACCACACCCGCCTCCAGCATGCGCTTGTGGAGCTCCGGGGACACCTCAAGTATGGGGTGGCATTGCAGGGGGTTGCGTGTTCTTTTCCGATAGCGTACTCTCACCGATTGTCGACCAGTCTCCAGGCCCTCGAACAATTTCTTGTTCTGGGCGGCGAGGTGGTCGACGATGTCTTGGTCGGTGTGGTACGCCATCAGATTTTTGATCCTGATTAGAGGGTGCGTCTTTTTGACCTGTCGCACCTCCAGGGCACCAACGCTCTCTATCTGGTTCCGGAGGAGCCGCGCGTCTTCCTTATCGGCGCAGCTGAGGACCACCGTCCGGTCCTTGGCTTTCCGTACTCAGTCCACCTTGAGGCCGGTGGACTTAAAGTCCAGCTTCTTCCTCAGCTCGTCTTGAACCCCGTCCCCGGTCTTATTGGGGTCTCGGCTGGTCACAATGATTGTGTGCTCGGGGTTCATGGTGGTTTTTGTTGCCTGCGCGTAGAACTTATTGCGCGGCTTTGCGCTCTCCGCAATCGGCTCCTCCGGCCTCAGATGTTTGAACCGGCTGTTCCAAATCTCGAACGTCTTCTTTAGCTCGGTGGCCCCGCCAGCGATGCCCGCTACTTCCTCCTTTAATGGATTCAGTAGGGTCTTGATGTTGGATGCTGTTTCTGCTATGGCCAGTTCTGTGCCGAGTCCGACGTCCAATCTGCTTGTCGATCCGTTTGCCAACACTAGGTCTTTGAGCTCCCTGACACTCTCCCGTAGGATGCTCGCCCTCCTCTCCGGTACTGGGTCGGGGTCCGTCCAGTCCGACGCGCTGCTCCCCCGCTCCCACTTTTCGACCTCCTCCTCCTCCTCACGTTGGGGGGTCGTAGACCACACTGTAATAGTCGGTCTTGGGGTGGGGGGTGGGCGCGCGAGACTGGAGGGCCCCTCCCGAGGAGGTGCTGCCCGCGTCGAGGGGCGTGTCGGCAATCGGGTCGACTTCCGGGAATTGTATTTTCAGCTGGTGTAGGATCCAATGAAGATGTTTTGTGATGGCATGGTTCTTTCTCGAGGTCCACACTGGGAGGGGCTGAGTAGGGCAGCTCTTCTAGGTCCTCTGGCAGGGGTATCGTGACGTCCCGGAGCGACACATTGGCTAATGGCCTCATGTCGTCCATATTAGTCTGAC